ACTAGCCATGGCCTCCAACCTAGAAGCGATGGCCTCCAACCTACTAGCGATGGCCTCCAACCTCGTAGCCATGGGCGGTCTAGGATACCTCCAATGGCATTGCGTGGGAAGTGGACATCGGAATGATCTCCTTACTGTACACAACTGGCCCCCGTACGGTCGACGCAGTGCGGTGGTGGTTGGGACGCAAATGATGCGGAAGTTCGTTTGTGCACCCGGAACAAAGCGCGTGCGCTGGGTGGCATGGATTTGCAAGAGATGAAGTCTAAAAAGGGTCAGGAGACAGGACATTATACTGGACACATGTGAATGTTTTCTCTTGATGTGGGCAGTGTGCGGCATGTGCTTCAGTCATTCTCAACAACTCTCACGTGGGTTCTATGCAGTGCAAACCGACTGATGGTAACTGGATGCTTCCATGAACCAAAGTCCCGACGGCTCGAAGTACCTCCCCAGAAGGTGTTTAGACCCTCCAAACCTAGAGGCATCCAGAGAGAGAGAGAGAGAGACAAATGCCACACAATCCATACACCATCTCAACGTAGGTATACATGTGTATATTGTTATATATCCATATAGCATGTTATATAATATGTCTACTGTAACAATACAAGAACATGATAATGCGCACATACTGTAGATGCTCAAGCTGCCACGAGCTGCTCGCCTGTTTTTCCTCCGAGTTGCTTTTTCCAAAACCTCCAAAAAGTAAATCAAGGCAAGGCGGGCGTCATGACCGCCTAACCTGCCAATTGCCTTCCTGGCTGCGTAGTCTATTTTTGTAATTATCCAAATTGATTGTGGGCTTTGTAACAGCTTTGTATGTCTTCATGATTCATGGCCAACAAATCGCAAGCCTTGCAATCAATGTGTAGTTGTCAAACTTGACTTTGCACACTTGCCCAAAACACGAATCCTTCCTCGGATCACTTCTTCGCGATGGGATACTTCACCTCAGGATGATTCAGGATGCATGTCAAATAGTTTGGCGCATCTATCTGCTAGGGTAAAGCTGGACTTGACTTGTTTTTCATCTCTCCCCATTCGCCTGTGGCACAGGCAATGAACATAGAGCTGACCTTTTGTCAACTCCAAACCGCAAGAGAAAAAAGTAACAATCATAGGCTAGGGTGGTCTCCAAATCAACGATATTAGGGAAGAACCTCGCAAAATGCAGGTCGAAGCGTCCAGGCTGACTCTTAGGGTTTCGTACACTCATGGTCTTGTGCTGATTTTGGTGCTGTCTTGCAACACCACCCAACCCGCCATGAAGAAAGCTGAGTGCTGCTGCTGGCTTCATTGCTCCCATGGTCTTGGCCTGAGAGCATGCTGATGATCAGAGTCCTCTTGAAAGCCAGCAGAACAAGGAATGGATTCTCCTTGAAAGCTGCTAGAACATTTTGTTTGGATATTCCTACCAATTCAACTTGCTTGCGCTTGCGGATTTAGTGTCACAGGCCTTGTTTTGATTGTCTCTGGTGTACGTGGTGGGGCTGCTTCTTTGTCATGAGAGGAAGCCAATGCTTTGAACATGTCAATCCTTCTTGTGACAGGACTAGCATGGATGCCCCGTCGTAAGCCAAACATGGCAGTGAAAAGGATCCTCTTCCTATCTCTTCCTAGAGGAACGTAGGCGCAGGGTTCCGAATACTACGCATCCAGATTTCATGCGATGCCTTTAGCAACGGTGTCAAAGCACACCTCCTTCTTTGATGTCCATATTCTCTGCTAAATGGAAAGGAATCGGATTCAGCAAGGGAAAAGGCAGGAGCAGCTAGAAGCTAGAGATAGCAGTATCTTGTCCAGAAGTTTCACGACATTTCTGGAGGTTACCGGAGCAAAACCCTGGCAAGGCATTTGTAGAGAGGGAACCAACAAATAATTCAGCCTTGAATTGCACCGTGCAAGGGGAGCCAGGACAGGTCGGCAAGGACGCTACTAGGGGCTCCTGGCCGTACTACTGAATGTCCAGCCCCAACAAACTAGAAACACGTTGCAACATTGATCAACGTACGCAGCTAGCCAGGCAGCCGCCGTCCGTTGGAGCAAAAAACTGTTACAGATTGTTTGAACCTTCCAAGGGCTGACCCTTCTTCACTTCTTCATCCAATGTTTTGTCATCCAGGTGCAGAAAAAAAAGAAGTGAGCTACCCCTCCGTCACTTCTCGGCATTCCTTCTGCTTTGTCAACATCTTCATCCCAACTGGAGTTTGCAATGTCCGTCGGTCAACAATAATCTGAGCTCCCAGGCTGCCACGTCCATTTCAGCCTCTGCTGCCTTGCCGCAGTACAGGGCATTCACCTGCGAACGCAGCTCCTCTCAGCCCAAAACTTTATCCTTCAGATTCATTCAATACGGCGGTTTGCCTCAATTTATGAACTCCACCAATGAAACGATCATAATCTCAAAACACAATAGCTGAATATAGCACCAAACAAATATTGTGCAGATTTGCCTGGTATAGACTAGAATTAAACATTGCTCAAAAGTCGGCCGCTCACGTTTCTTTGGCTGAATTGTGTTCAAGCAGGTGGCCCCTGCAAAGGATCCGCCTTGCCAAACCAGTCCAGGTCCGTCAAGGCAGACTTCACGTCGGCTTCAATCAAATTTCGAGCGTCCAGCTTGATATCGACAAAGTCCTGAACATCGAGAGAAGTGTCCGTTGGCCACTCGGAGCAAGGACGCTACTAAGTTACTAGGAGCTCCTGGCATCGCTACTAGGAGCAAGGACTCTACTAGAGGCTCCTGGCCTTACTACTTTGAACAAGAACGCTACTAGGAACAAGGGCGTCCGAAAAACTCCAAACATTACTTCCTAATAGCGATGGCCTCCACCCTAGTAGCGATGGCCTCCAGCCTAATAAGCTTTCTTTTTAGCCGGCTCCTACTTATATAACTATATTGTAATATAACAATATATAAGTAGGCACCCACTTAACCAAGTGAGGCTGCTGCACACATATGGACGCAGGATAGTGTTCGCACTAATGATTTGGTTCTTAGATCGTTAGGAAAACTTCACTTCATCCCATTTGGGTAATACTATATTAACTACTTTGCCCTTTGTACCTCAGGAAGTCACAACAGGGCCACACATGAGCTCAACTCGTCGGTTTCGACCCTGCTTTGTGGACAGCCTGCAAGACGGGAAAAATACTGGAATCTCACGGCTGAGAAGGCATGAGAACATATGAAAACCACAAGTTTATTGTCCTTCCATGGGAGCGCATTGTACTTGTTCCCGACATATGCGACCTCAGTCACTCCACACATTCTGCTGGTTTGCCTTCATCGCCATTTGTCGGATTCTACAAGATTCTACCTGTCTCTTCTGACAAACGGAGGTTCGAACTCTTCATACATCCGCCAACAAAGAAATAACACTGTTACTTTATGTTTCTTTAGCGTCGTTGCAGCACACAAAGGCCGGAGAAACGAGTTGCGACATCGGAAAACACAACAAACATCGCTGGGTCGAGCAAACCTGGACTATTCGGGATGCTTGATTGCGATCCCCGTGCAGTGTGAGTCTTCCTAGAGAAGATGTGTCTTTCAATGTCTTTCAGTCAGTTATGCATAGAATCTCTGTCCATGCCAAGCCACACTGGAATCAACCTTTCCGGGGATGTCTGCCACCACGTCCAGTGGGATCTCAAGCTGCTGCTTGGCAGCGCCCACCTAGGCTCGTGTTGTCAGGAGCAGTGGGCTGCTCATGTTCAAGAAATCTCCTCTTTGCCTTTTGACAGGCTCTATGGCAGGAAGATGTGGATTTTCACCAAACAAACCTTTTCCACGGTTTTCACTTTACACAGGGAATCCTTCTGGCATAGCCCATGCATGCGTGCATTTCATAGTTCATGCTTGTCTAAGATTAAAATCTGTCAATCCATTTTTGAGCCTTTTGAACAAGAGCACGTTTTTGAGTCGGTCGTATGGTCGTATTTATCCTGAGCACGACTGCTCAGGAAAGAATTTGTAAAGAAACATTTTCACTACGTAGAGTCTACACACTGTTTCTTGTAGAGTCTACACACGTAGTTTACACAACTTCTTTCCAGCTTCGAATTCCCTTTTTTTGGATCAGCTCTTGGGCCCGGACGGCGATACGCTGCAAAGGACGCTTCCCATAGAGGAGGGCCACCTGTGCATGCCCAAACTTGTGGTATTAAACACGTTTCCCTCAAAATCTATGAACCAAATGAATAGTGCGAGCTTCCGTGAAGAAGCCTGAGCTACCCTGCGTCCAGTCGCTAGTAGCGGCTAGTTGGTCTCACCCTTACAGTAAGTAGGCGCCTACTTGATTAAGAGTGAGGGCAGCGGGATAAAGAACTGTTCTAGTGACTAGACCGGGGCAAGAGACCTTCTTTGAAACCTGAAAGGTCACCCAAAGTCCGACCAGCTTTTTGTCTGGAACAAATAGTGGCTCCTTGAATTCTGCTAGAACATGCTAGAACTCTAATTTGCGTGCTTTACCACTAATGCAACAAATTGACACTTTTTGGGGAGTGGCTCCAAACAAACAGAAGTCCCCTGCAAGCATCGCTGAGCATGGCTGAGCTGTGAACCGAAGGGCATGTCCTCGGAATGAAGTTGATCATCCTGTCACCAATGTGAGGCTGTAGTTGCAAAACGTGCAGCATGAACCAAAAAAGCAACATTGCAAAGTAATGATTGTGAGAAGAGACTCTTTGTTCAATGTACGCGTTGCCTGGAGAACGGCAATCCTACGTTGTCAATCGTTTTCCTTTGTAAATGACCCCAACCGAGCTCCTCTCCTCTCCTAAGCCAAACATCCATTTTGATCATTCGATTTGATCACAAAAGGCAGCACATGCAAGAAGCGGAGTTTCACTCAATTGGGCACATCAGCATCCCACTGCTGAGGGCGGATTCGACAAAGCAACCTCTCGAGCCTCTCGCCTGGTGTGGATGTAGACGGATCAAGCTCCTCACACCCTCTTGAGCCAAGGTGACGGAGATAAGATCGGCAAGCCAAGGCCGTGAAAAAGCAACCACAAGAACCAAGACCAAGCTCCCCCATAATTGAACTTGTATAGCTTCCCTCATGCCGTTGGTTGTGACAACTGACATCACCAAGTTCTGTGACCGAGATCCGAGATGCAAAAGTTGAAGAACATCCAGATGTTCCAACACAAACAGATATGGGATGGATGCCACCAATCCGGAATACAACAGGTTTTGCATCACCTCCACTGGCTTGCTAGGAGTCCGACCGCAGCTGTGGACCTTGGAATGGACTTGAAAGACAGCACTCAAAAAGGAACTCTTTGATTCTCTTGGGAGAAAAAGGGTTAAACAACGAAATACAAGCAGAAGGCAAGCGCCCCTTTGACAAGGCCCCTTTAAGGGGACTTACTTTATTACAGGGGCTCCTACCTTCTATTATCCTTCGTTCCTGGACTAGGTGAGCGGGAGTAGTTTTGATCGCATGCTGCTACAAGGGAAACACCCATACCAGCTGCACCGTTGTACACCATTGCTGTATCAGTGATTGGACATGAGGGGCTCATGGCACCTACCAAAGGTTGCCCAAGTGCGCATCGTCCATCTATCAAGCTGAAATCGGATTTCTTTGAAGATCTGCAGTTGCAGCATCGACTCCGTAGACAAACAACGTTTGATCGTATGGCCCGGATGGCCCACATGTATTTCTTGGTTGATGTTCTCATAGCTTCTTGTTACTACTAGTAAGGCACTTGTTACTAGAAGCGATGCACTTGTTCCTAGTAGCGAACATGGTTTCTAATCGCACATTGAAAAAACGTGCTTTCTTTACTTCCCTCTGAGGCTCTTTACAAAGGTCTTTTCCTACGGCCTTTTCTGCGGCCTTTTCTTCCAAGGCTTCCAGAAAGTCTCTCAGTGCGGCCGGGAGTGGAGCCTCCGCAGTGAACGTGGAGCCAGTGAAATCGAACAACCGCAGCTTGGCGCAGTGCAAAAAGAGCCGAAAGCACGCGTGCCCCACGGCCTTGGAGACAAAGACACAGGTTTGAAACGCGGGAATGCCTCCCCACCCACCTTGATTCTTACTTTGATTGACAAGCAAAAGTACATCCATGGTCATCCATTAAACAGTTAAGAAATGTTAAGAAGGAGGAGGGACGCCTTGAACGCATGAAAGCCACTTGATGATGACGACAATTCGACACTGGACAGTGCTGAAAGTGCCCAGCCACTGGGGTGCCATAGACCATGTCCCCAAGGATAGGGCGACCAATACTTGCCAGGTGAACTCGGATCTGATGCGTGCGCCCCGTCAAAGGTCGGACCCTCAAAAGGATCAATTCCTGCTCCTGCACCGGATTCACTCCGCACCAGTGAAGGTACCGTATGGCCATCACTTGAATCTATACCGTATTATACCGTAGACCGTACTCAATATATATATATATAGTTTAGATATGTTTATATACAGTGTATACATACTCAATGACTCGATTCCCCTCCTTGTGGCGAACCTGGAAGCATCACATTTCCAATGCCCCACTCGGTGACCCAAAGGACCGTCACGGTTTTTTGTCGTTTCAACCTCTGCCTAAGAAATACATATATAAACATGCTTCAAGGCTTAACACACCAAGCAAGCATGCCTGGCCAACCTGAACTTCATGAACAAAGGTTGTAACCGAGATCGCGGCTTTCGGGCATTTTCTTGATAGATCAGCCCTCTGGGTCAGCGTATGTGGGAGCCATCAACAGCAGGAATGACCAAATCTCCGTTGCCCACCTCTACAGGCGGAGCGCTGTGCCAGTACCGCGCTTGAACCACATAGGCCGTCTTCGCTGGGCGGCCAATCTTCGAGACAATCGTGCGGCTGTTGATGCCATCTTGGCCAGTGGTGAGAAGCGGCTGGGAGATCACCGCTGAGGAATGCCTTGCTGATGATCACCGAGGGCGACGTTGGGTCTTTGCGATGCTATAACAAAAGGGACCAGCTACTGGGCAGCATGTACAAGCCCCAAGTTGTCAGCCGGCAAGCTGGGCGATGCCCGGTATGTCGATATCGGTTTGACAGTGTAACGGCATGGGGGCAAGTGGGCCTGTCTATTTTAAATACTGGTGGTGACCACTCAAAAGAACTTGCTCTCCACCCGCCGTCCCCATGTTTCTTGATTGGATAGCAAGTGGAAGAGATTCGATTCAGCTGCATGCAAACTGTCTGCAGTACAGTCTCACTGCGATATCTTTGAGAATGTCTCACCACCAACCATAGCTTAAAAGCAAAAGGATTGAATTATGCACTCCCCACGAAAAACGGCTTGGGCCGGCTTTAAATATCTCTTGGCCGCTGGTACGCTTGGTGGAGAAATTCTATGCTTGTTCACAGGATTTGGCTGGTAAGTTATCTCGGGCATCAAGCAGCCCCATCATCCAACCTGGTTGTCTACATTGTGGGGCCGTGGAGCGAATTGAACAGTTTACAGCACCTAACTTTGACAACCAACTCAACAACATAACCCAACTACTGACCATCCAGCAGGTGGAAGATCATCCCAAAAGCCAGGTGCTCAATTTTTGAGGCGATGAAGGGGGGAGGCCGAGATGCATCTCGCCTAGAGAGGGGCCAGCACACAAGCAAATGTAGTCCTTGCGCACCAAACGGCCAGCGAACTGGGCCTGTAGATACTTGCCAGCTGATTCTCCACACGCAAGTGGAAGGACACCTATGCAAAGTGGGGCAAGCCCTTTTTTCGAGAAATGCACGACATCACCATAGCATTTGCACTCTACCCCTTTTTCTTGAAGTTTACACAAAACCTGTTGATGCCCTTTACTTTGCAATAGCTTTCAGGCTATTTATCGTCTTAACAGGACCCACTGCAACAAGTGGTACCAAACACAAACTCTACTGAGTCTGTTTCTTCCGGCCTGAGGTTGGTGCATCCAACCTAGATGCCAGTCGAAGCTGGATGCCGAAGGACTTTGAGCAACGCAGAAGGAGAGACTCTGTGCTTTCCCCTGATGCTTTGTTCACCACCACAATGCCAGGCCGATGGCAAAGAACTCCAGCCGATCCAGCCTCAGCGATCGAACATGTTTTGTTCACTTTCCACCGAGCTGTTGTGGTCCATTTCGAGCCACCAAGCCCCGACAGAAGGCTTTGTCAAATTCTCACTGTTACTCCTTCTGCAGCGATGGTACCACAAGCAGTCCCCCTAAAAACGTCAAAGTGCAACTGAGGAAAGAACTTCTACCTCCACTTCTGGCACCGCTGGCTGCCACTGGCGCCCCAAGCAACGAAGCAGCTCGAGCGCACATGAGGCTCCCTTTGAGCTGGAGAGGGAGGAGAGCACGGAGCCAGCCAGGGCTCCATCGACCTGAAATGATGAGAGGAAACTGTGAATTAGAGTATTAGAAGTGACGGCCTCCAACCTACTCGCGATGGCCTGAAACCAACTAGTGCTGGCCTCCAACCTAATAGCGATGGCCTCCAACCTAATAGCAATGGCCTCCAACCTAATAGCGATAACCTCCAACCTACTGTAACGGCATTTGAATGGTCTTCACTTTTTCTGGATTACCTCGGAGTAAGCCGTGTGACAGGAAACTGTGGGATCATAGGAAGGTTCTTTCAGAAACTGTGGCCTGGTTTGAAGCATGGGTAACATGTAATTAGGAAAGATCATGTCGTTCTTCTTTTCGATTATCGGACCGCGGATTGTCGCGTATACAAGTATAGTATCTAATTATATCAAATTATTAGTTAACTCGGATGGCCTGTTGGTTCCTGGCATTCCGGTGGAGAAAAACGACAACATGGCTCATTTTCAACCCCAATGTGGTGAGACTTTGAGCAACATCCCACCTCTGTCCGATCAGAGACCCATTCGAAAATGCTCAGCGCCTGGAGCCATGCACCCACCTTGTCGCACGCGTGCGCGGAGGCTGTGCACCAAATCCCTGGCTCCAAGTGGCACCTGGGAATCGATGCACCAAAAATTGGCAAAAGGGGGTTCAGCAGCTTAGACATGTTTAAACAACGTTGAACTGGGAGTTTTAAGTCCATGCATTTTTGGTCTCAAAGTCTCAAAGCATCTCAAAGCCTGATAACTTCACAACCAATGGCTTGATGTAAGTGTTCAGCCCACAAAAAGCAGAAATTAATTGGGCTCTGAGCCAGTGACATCATCAACTCTCCACACAATGCCATTGCGACTCGCCACTCTTCTGTGTTGGAACACGCAGTAATCGCTGCGCTGTACGTGACATCCCCTGTTCTCATTGAGCATCCCTTCATTTTAGTCAACATCTCCAGTGCACCTTGCCAGTTCGACCCCTTGGCACAGGCGCTGATAGCCAAATCGCAACACGGTGCAAAGTCGTCAGAGTCCGTGTCGAGTCTCAAATCCGCAGATTGCAGGGTCTCGAGGGCTTCCAAAGCTCGTCTCCACTGGTGTAGATTGTCACAAGAAGCCATGGCTGCTGAGAGGCTGAACGCATTTGCACCAAGACGATGCTCGGCAGCATCACCAAGGGCATCAATGGCAAATCGCCACTCACCGGCCTATTTTCGCCGACGAAGCAACACATTAATTACTACTGATATTGTAAACCAGTGGTCCAGGTCGTCCTTTCTTCCTATACAAAAGGGCATGTCACGGCAGAATGTCTCTTTCCAACAATATGACCTCTCCTTGAGTTTCGATCGCGCACTCGCTCGTGCCTGGCCGAAAGCACTGATGGCCGAGCTGCAGCTCACCTTAGTTGGGAATCTGGGATTTACACTACTTCACAGGGTACAACCTTCTTTGAATTTTCTTAATTGAAACACTTGGCCTAAAAGTAGCAAAGATTGATGAATCCTGATCGATATGAAGTTGGGAGAGTTTCCAAACCGGCCTGGTTGGTGAGTCGAAAGTCTTGCATCTGCCGAACGGTCTCTATCACGAAGTACCACGGAGCACTCATTGTAGAACAATAGGTGTATTCGTTTGGCCGAATTCCTGGCACACGCAGAGTTGTCTCGCACATGATCTTGGGAAAGTGTTGTAAGTTGTATGCATCTGCTTTTCTTGCAACCAAGGCAACGTAACAAAACCATACAAAACCAACCTTTAAGGCTCCTGGACCCAAAGAACAACGAGACCTCTATTGATAGTACTCGAATGCGCTCGACATACCCTTCGCAGCACGGATTTGCATCGGGCTCATCCTGTGATTCTGTCTGTACATGTCTGTACCCACTCACACGCTATCAGCCTATCGTGCAGGACTCTTACCTTCTGCAGAATGACAACGCAAAGAAACAACACTGCAACATCAACTCCCATGTGCCCAGTTGAGTTCGGCATTCGATCTTCCGCGATGATAACTAGCTAGAGCATACTAGAGCCCTTCTGAACGACGGCATCCTTGACGTCGGGCGTCGCCCAGCAGGTGCAGGGGCAGGTGCCAGCGTGCAGTCTCCGAAGCTGCGGCTGCAGCAGCAGCTGAGTAATGGAAGACGTCTAGTTCCAGTTGGCTCTGGCGCATGGTGTCCATCAGTGGCAGAAGCAAGTGGCCTCCGGAAATGGACTGTGAGCTGCGTAGTAATTGGTTGAGCCAAAGAAAGAGCAAGAAAACAGTTGACCATGGTTGACCCTGGTTGACCTAAAATTGTTGGAATGTTCTTATTTTCCCTGTCCCTTTCCTCGATGCTCGGTTCCGAGCTTGCGCAAGACCAGGGTGACTTTGGATGGCCCCCACTGTTGCAAGCCCGGAAGAGCTTTCTGGATGGCAGCTTTCGAGGGCTTCTTCAAGTGTAAGAACTCGCGAAGCTCTCTCTCCATGAGAAGACTTGCACGTGCAAATGGAATCGGTGGTCCAGACCAGGCCTATGTCTTACAGACCTGCTCCTCTTGAGCCAAAAGTTTGGATGAATTGTCTGGAGCTGCAGACCGCCAAGAGTAGAACTGGTATCTGAGTAACTGGTCTGTGATGGCCTCATCCCTCAGTTTATGAATCGTCTTGTGTTCGCTACCTGCTACCTGCACTATGAAGCAAATAAGAAAAACATGATGCTCTCGCCTCACTCCAGTGAATCCTTTTTGTTGCAGGTTGGGTCACCCGAGCTGACACAACAAATACCTTAAGGGCAGCCTGGTGATTTTAGATGATTTTAGCCTTAAGATCTCAGCGAAGAGGGGGCAGGCATAGCCTAGCATGTAAAGGATGATCCACCATCTCCACAGCTGCGAATGACACTGATGATCTGCTTGGGACCCCTGCCTTCACCCTTGCCAGGTCATGGGCCATGGCGACACATGCTGAGACACAGTGGACAGTGGCAAAGCCACTAAGACCGAACTTCGACCAAACTGAATCTTTGACGGGCAATCTGTCCTCCATTGAACCGAGATGATGCAAACTGCCACCAAAAGCAGGAACAGGTGTCCGGCGCTTTCAGATCGGTCACGGCATGGGTGCGAGTGGGGACTGGACTTGTTGTGCCCTGAGCAGATCCTCCATCCAATCTTTCAGTTATGCTGCAAACTGCCTTCGCATGTGACCATGCCAAAATGAGATCTTGGCTACCAATACTGATCCTGAAAAGAAGCCCAAGCCTTTGAAACAAAAACGCAAAGATGAAAGGACATGGTTGAGCCTCTGACCTGCTGTCCCATCCAACCCTTAGTCCCTGCCTGGGAGGCTTTCCCGACAAGGGCCGCAGTCGCCGAGCCACTCTCGAAAGCATTGGATCTATATCTGTCTTTCTGTCTTTACTATACAGCAAGAGTGCAAGCTGATTGGCCGGAAGAGTACTTTCGACCCGTCATTTGGTACTACCCAGTCAACTCGATTGCTATCCTTCAAAGAAGAAGGAACCAATAGTCGCTCTTTGGCATCAGGATTTTTGTGTGTTCTTCACATCGTTCAGAACGCCAGGACTGCCGCTATCAGGCTTCATCACATTAAAGTTGATTAAACAGTTGAACCCTACTCAAGGACTGTGGTGGGCTCAAAAAACTGTCATTGATTGTAGTTGCCTAGCCCAGGTACTTTGCATGGTGTTAGAGGTGCGGCATAAAACAAGTCTGACTTGGTTGTCTTCCCAGTCCATGTGCAAATCTAGTACAGTTGGTGCAAGTGGCAGCACCTTGAGCAGGTGATGAGCAGTGTGCAACGGGGTGTGTCTGCTGTTTCCAAGGGCAAGCCGTCCCCTTTGAACGGAATGGTAGGCTCTAAAAGCAGCATCAGGTCTTTAACTCGATGGTCAAGCTCTCTTCTCGCTTGATGCAGTTTTGGGTATTTGATCTTTGATCTTTGCACAGTCACAGCGTCCAAAATATATTAGTAAATGTCATACAATATCATTATATCATCAAGAAAACATCTGGCCAGCTGGCAAAAACCACTTGACTGGCTGACACAGTCACGAATCACGAGGCGCCACTGTATTTCGGCTTTGCCCTGGACCTACACCCTGGCTCCTTGTGAGGATTCTTCGCAAGGTTCACATCCAAAAAGGCCGAGCACCTGCATTCGGGTGTTCCATCTGAGGTTTTATGTGATCAAACTGGCTCACTGCATCGAGCTGCTTAGATTTGTCCCGCATTCGTTTTACCTTGTTCACGCTCCTTTGAGATCTGTACGCCGCACCAGTTCTGAGGCCTCGACGCCAAGGAGAGAGGCGCCTTGCTCCGCCGACGATTCCTCTCATGCCACAACTTCTCGGAAGAACAGCCATTGCAAAGCAAAATCACTAGGGTGGAGGCCATCGCTATTAGGCTGGAGGCCGCTCTTAGGTTGGAGGGCCATTGCTCTGGGGCTTGGAGGGCAGAGTGGTCATTGCAGGCATAAATAGATGGAACGACTCGCCGAGACTAATTTGCTCCCAGTCAATTCACTGAAGGCGCTCCCTGTGGGCATGCCCTTTCCCGGTGGTCCGCGGCGGAAATCCTCAAGAGATAATTAGGGTTTTCACTCGCTTTCTATTCAACCATCGACAGCCTGGCAATTTGTTCATGTTTTTCTGTGTGTGCATCTCTTCCACTGACTCATGGTATCCATGGCGCGAAGTGCCTGATGTGTGAAAGCAAGAAACCCACCAGCTGTTGGCTTGAGACCTTCTCAAAGATTCCATCGCAGCCTGCAGCGCTGTCGGATTCACCGTCGAACGTGTCAAAACCAGGTGGGTCCCACCGATGGTTCATGTCCAAAACCTCTTCCCCAGTTCCAAGCGGCCTATGGCGAGGAACTTGTCAGCAGGCCCCAGTGCTACTCGCTTCACCTGGGAGGCTTCCCGTGCTCTCGGCAACCAACCAGGCAAGTGTGGAGCTACCGAATGCAACCTCAGGGGTATTCATGGTATAATTTCAAAGACCAAGCACAGATTCCCCAAGATCATAACGTGGGTCGGTTGGATATCCCAACTCCCGTTCGCGAGTTACTTGAGTGTCACCGAGGATCCCGGTTGCACCTCGGCCTCTGCTGAAATCTTTTGCTGGACTGCCTTGCACGAGCCGAGCTGCCCTGCGCTGGACTTGAACTGCAAGTTGTAAGTGTAATCTCATGCGAAACGGAGCTACAAATCTCACTCCTGTATCCCTGCTCAAAAACTTCTTTCTCAGTTGGATAATCTTGGATACAAAAGAAATCCCAATCTAAATTCTTCATCAATGGCAAAGGTAGTATATTGGGGATCCCCCACTGACATGGAACTCTAACCGCCAACGAGTTGAGGCTTCAGATACCGATTGCACTCCACACTCCATCCTGCCTTGCGCGTGCGATCCTTCTTGTAGGCAAAGTCCCCCAAGGACCGGGAAAGGTTCTGGCAGGAGCTCACTGCAGTGTTCCAGGGTCTCAACTCCATGCTTTCCTAGGTGATGGTGACATAATCCTGCAACGAATGTTGCATCCAAACCTTTCCGATCTGCAGCTTCCCCACCAATGCCCGTGCGTTGCAAACTCCCGATGGAAGTCACGTGGAGAGAAACATCCTTCACCAACAAGAAAACACATACACTTGTAATATTAGTCTGATACATATACAGAGATTGCGAAAAATATATACACATGTACGGGTGTGTTGATTCCATCCACCTGCAATCGCAATGATTTCTGTGCAACTGGAGCAAGTCGACCTTTCACCAAGAATAGCCATTCCAAAGCGAGCCCTCCCTATTCATGATATTCCATGGGAGAACGAACTCCAAACTGTTTGACATTTGTGGAGATCTGCATTCCGGTCCTCACACTGGCCAACAGTGAGGGAGTTTGAGCAAAACCCCCCTTTGACCCTGCCCAGCTCGCGCCAGGTTGCCATCCACGCGCCCATCGGCAGAGACAAAGCCGCCGGCCTGGGTCGGAGAAAGTCATGTCTTGTGAAAGGGTGTGTCATCCGCTTGAGGAACAACCTCTTGAAAGGGTAGCAGCAGAGACATAAGTAAACAAACCAATTGATTTTAATGTTTGAGTTCACAAAAACAAAAAGGCACATACATGAGCTTCGACTCAGTTCTCACTGGACTCTCATGGTGCAAGATGTTGGTTGGATCTTGTCAGCCAAACAGGCAATCACTGGCATCATGCTTCTAGCTGCTTGACAGTATAACAGTGGCGTTTGAGCAAAGCCGATGCACTTCTTCAACGTTCGGAATCGGAATCCAATTGGCAATTCATCTTTGGGCGATTTTCCTTGAATATTCTTCGGTAGGTAGACAAGGGTCTCAGTTCCTTCTCTATCAACCTCGACTTCGACCTCTCTCTCTGCCTGTAGGATGCGGGTCTTCTCGCTCTTCAGTTCCGGCTTGTGGTCTCGGGACATGTTTTTGGCCTTCTCACCCCTGCCAAGCGGAAGACATACAGCTTGGGATCAAACATCCCTATATACCAATTCCTGGAGGGCGTTAGCTGATTGCAAAAGATTCAGGGGAAGAACCTAAATGGCATCAAACATGCAAGTTTGAACATTGGAATATGTATATATATATGTATATGTATTATTTTGTTGATGGAATCATCTCTGCCAGTTGTCCAACGGCTCTCATACAAAGATTTGGACAAAGTAGAGGATGTTGCCTCCAAGTTACATCTTGGATCTCCTATGCTTCACAACCATGGTTGAAGGGGTTAGGGAATGATCAAATAAACTACAAAGAATTCAGAGATGAGCTCAAGTCAAGTTAGGTTTTGGCTTTAGTGTCACTATAGATCTACTGGTTTGCTGGCTGGATCTACAGTCCATTTCCAATCTCTGACGGCTTGCTCCCCGGTCGATTCATCCTGGTTAGATTTGCCATGGCCTCGCCAGAACGCAGCGGGAGTCTCCCGCATTGGCACAGAAGATCTGCGATGGAGGAAGACAGTGAAGTTTGGAGCACAGTGAGCCAAATTGTGTTGGTAATAATTAGAGGAGTGCATCATTTCATATTTCTGCAAAGAGGAAGATAATCCAAATGGATGGATGGGCGAGGTGTGCTGCGTCTCTGGCAACTGGAGCCATGGTGTCTCAGTCTTTGAAGTCTCTAAATCACATGGAGCGAAAGGCATAGCCCAATCTCGCTTGCTTTCAGCTCGCGCAAACTAAAACGGTCGCAACGGAGGTATTGAAACAACCGCTGAAACGAAGATCAGCCTTGTCAAAAGCCGGCTGCAACCTTCTGTAGCCGAATCAACTTCAAGACCATTAGGTAAGCTGAAGCATCCAGCCCGTTCTTTGTCTTCGACAAACCACACATTTTTGAAGACACTTGACACCTGGACACCTCTAGAGGCCATCCTGGTGTTCACATAGAACCCCTCATGTGCACTCCTCGGCGATTGCATGGACCTTAGAAGTTTCGGCCACCATCGGTCGGTTGCAGTGAAGTCGGTTGAGCTGGATTCCCCGTCTCCACCTCACTTGGATGACACATGGGGAGAAAAAGGTATCCCTATGTGTGTCTGCTAAGGTTCCCTTCTTGTAAGAACTCTTGCTAGCTACAGGCCTTCAGCCGGGAACGTAACATCACATGTCAATCATATCATAACTATTTGCCAGGAAGTCCAAGACCTAACGCCTACTAGGGAGAACGCAAAGGAAGGTATCTCCACAGATCATGTATTTGGGTTGATAGCTGATAGCCTCATCACCGCATTTATTCTGTCCACAGAAGGTACAGAACAGAATCTCCTCAGTTGTTCGCAGCGTCTTTGCTGTTTGAGGTTATGTCATGTAATGTCTGTCACGTGCAGTTCATCGGATTGCGCAAAATGGCACACAAACACAAGCGCAACCTTTTGCGCCGAGTCCACAGGAGCAGTTTCGATCCTGCCATCTTGACAAGACCTGCTCCACTGCAGTGAGGCGTTCCCTACTGAGGTAATCAGGATTAATGTCATCAAGATTCACACGCATGTTGGCAAAGCGCCCGGCCTGGCATTCGTCAGAATGTCCCAAGACTATGGTTGATTGAGCAAAAAATATGGTTTCTTGGTTTTCTGGCACAATCAAATGCTTGTTTGCTTGCACACGCTTCTTCGAAGCTACAGTATTCAAACAGATTCAAAAATAACTACACCAGCACTATATTCATCTTTCCGGTTGAGTGGGCGCTTGATAAACCTCATGCTGATGCACTTCTGTGACTGCTCCACTCGTGAACGTTGTCTGTGTGGTATGCTAGTGTCCGGTGGCTCAAACACAGTTAGACAATGTTAGACACTCAGTGACTCAAACACAGGCTGAAACGGCGAGTTCAACAGGTGGGTCAGGGGTCCGCCAAACCGGTTTCCTGTTCCAAGGCCTCGCTACCGTCGACGAACAGGTCGAAGGGGCCTTGCAAAAGGTCTCTGGAACTGATTGGGTTTGGGCACTCGGAGCCTAAATTGATTCTATGGTGAGAGACTTGTGGTTCAACTTGTGGTTCAATCTGTGACGGTTCACTGCTTCCCACTTTGCATCAGCCTTCCGACAGAGGGCTGATGTACCGACATTGCTGGCCGAGCAGGCTGCCTGAGCTGCAACTGCAACGGGTTCAAGTAAAGGAATCAAATCCTTTGTATGAGCAAGCCAGCGGGGTTATTCCTTTAAGATCCTTTAAGTATCTTTCAGTGCTACGCTCCCAGAAGTTCCCAGCCTCAATGTTCCCTTTCAGGTGGTCCAACAACCAACATCCAACCCAACCCAAAGATTGCAACAAACACATCTGATCCACTTGAAGAGCGGTCGAAATGAACCAACTGGAGATGGCAGGCAAAGGAGCGGCCCACGCGTTTTTTGGGTGCCCGCACTTTCGCAAGCCCCGCCAGCCTTGCACTGTGGAGATCGAGCTGAAAAGGAGGACAACTGGTCTTCCTGGTCTCCTACAAAAATTGCCCATCTGGACCTGAGGAAGCACTTTTTTCCAAACAAAGAACTTGCTTCGATTGTTCCACCAGATTTTTTTGTAGACCAACCTCACAGGTTCTCCGAATCGCATGAAATAACACCGGCAGGTATATAATTAACATTATATACATAGTTATACATCTCGACCCCGGACCCTGATGCACTGGTGGATCCCGAATCTGGAGCTCAAGAGATTCGGCCAAGGTCTGAGCACCCGCAGATCACACAAACGGGGCTATATAGTTCGATGGTTCAAACGGAGACATTTGGAGATCACAAAGAACGGCAAAGATTTGATGCATACCTTTTCTTTGCCCAAGTAGTTTTTGATAGCAGAACCTGTTGGTCTTACGGCGCCTCGCAAGACCAGAATCTTGGTCGCTGCATCTCTTCGTCGAGCAATGATACTGGAGGGCTTGACGGATTGGGAGTGCTTTGGAAGACTTAATTCACTTCAAGAGCCAGGACAGGTATAAATGAATTGAGGGAATTTGATGGCATGACCCGAGACTCATCTCTGCTGCACGGTTGCTGGTGGCCTCACGACATGTGTTGCTGTCACTTCAATCAAGCACATTGTGTTTGCCGATGGCACAAACTGCAGAGTTCATGGTAGGTCTGGGCACTCCCAAAATGCGTGACACCCTCTTCTAGCTCCTCACCAGCAGCTGCTTCCAACCTCGCAAAGGATCTCGAGCCTCGCGTGGATAAACAGCTGGCAGGAAACCGGGCCAGGATTTTGGTTCCACTAGGACAACGTTCGAACAGGTTGTTCCATTCTGTTCTGGACCCTAGGGCCATAAAGACGATTAAACAAACTCATAGAAATACTGTAGACCGTCAAGAAACTAAGCTGCTTCTGAGGTCATCCGGCCTCTAGCTTCTCTAGCTTCCCTTGCAGCTTCCAAGATTGGCTGGTGGATGGAGGTGGCGCTGGTGGTCCAGCTGCTTCGGCCTCACATGTCACTAGGTCTGTCCGAACTCCAAACTCACATGTATGATGGCATATATGTACTGGCATATTTGCTACACCAAGGTCTTCAAGTCTTCAAGCTCCCTTTTACTTTCTAATACAATCAAGGCATCCAACAACCTACCTTTTCTCATAGTTCCGGAACGCCTGCCTCCACGAGTTCTATCATCAAAGCCAGCGGCCTTGGCTTAGCCTGAGCGACTTTGTAGAAAGGATTGATGGCCTGCCTAATTTTCATGCAAACTTATGCCCATTTCATGGCTTTCCATTCAGCTTGGGCCCCAATTGTGGTCCTGTCTGGTGATCAGCTGCAGGACCAGTTTAGGCATCCCAGCTGGACCCCGAGCATCAGAAGCTCGCCGGACCCGATCGTGCCTGCAGTGATCGGCACATGACTGAACAACCAGCTTCGGCATGTAGGACGCTCATCCAATAACATACGTAGATAGGCAGCCAACAACATGGTGAGGTTTTGGAGAATTGTGGAGGTCTACCTCACGATAGCTTGAGATGTGGAGCTTGGAACAGCCAATCAAAGAGCTCGTCAACCTTCTAAAGTTCCAAACCCCTTTCAATGCCACAAACTAACTACAGCCTTCAAGCCTTCACACCACTTTTCGAGACCCCATTCATCACTTGCGTCAGCTTCTCCGCAACTGCGCTCCCAAGAAACAACTCTCGCCCTGTACAAACGGTGTAGTCAGACTGGGCATGGCCCACACGGCCCATGTGGCGACTACTGACGGGTTGTTTCTCACCCCGAATTAGACGGTGTCAGACTACTCGTCACGAATGCGACTTGTGTTGACAAAGTTCGCGGCACAACTGTTGGCAAAGTTGTGTCTACACTACGCTAAGGGCTGTTGATGTTCACCTTTTGCCCCAACTGACTTGGATGGAACATATCCAAGTACTGCTTATCTCCGTCTTCGTGCCACCATTCTTGTGATCGCTTGTGCCATCTAGTCATCGTTGTCTGTAGAGTCTTCGGCCTTAGGTGCTCCGTTCCCTCGTGCAACAGCCAAGTCCATCAAAGGTATTTCCAAAGTGTTATAAGGTGCTCTTCATCTTTCTCTTGTAGAAGCGATGGCCTCCAACCCAATAGTGATGGCCTCCAACCTAATAGCGATGGCCTCCAACCTAATAGCGATGGCCTCCAACCTAAGGTATTTGCAAAGTAACGCTTTCTTGCCTATGCTCTCCCATGCTTCAAAGCTCTCACCCGCTTCTTTTCATGGATACCTCCCAAATCATGAAACACTTCATACAACAGCGGTCCGGCCAGTGCATGAATCGTTTCCTCTTCCAACAGCTCAAGGTCTCAGCAAATGGCTCAGGGGATTCTGGTGGCAAACCCTGCTGTAACAAGTAACAAGCTGTCTTCTAGAAGCAGCGAGCTATCAGGAAAACAATTAATCGATATAATCCTTTCTGCAAGGAGTTCGTGAGACTCCTTGTTACTAGTACTACCTGCTGCTGCTGCTGCTGCTCCTACTACTACTACTACTACTACTACTACTACTACTACTAGTAGTAGTAGTAGTAGTAGTAGTAGTAGTAGTAGTAGTACTAGTAGTAGTACTAGTACTAGTACTAGTACTAGTACTAGTACCAGTACTACTAGTACTAGTACCAGAACTAGTGTTATTTCTACTACCATCAACACCACCCCTATGACAACTAAGTACTAGTATTGCTCCGACTAATAAAATACTTCTAATGCTCTTAACTACCATTACAACTACAGTCGCCAGCTACTAGTACGACATTCCCTCAGATTTACCTCTTGTACATTTGATGCCACAGTTACTACATATATCATATTATATACATGTACATATTATTCCTATTTAGACCCACTTCCAACCTGGTACCTTACTACCATGAACTCTGACTGTTGCAACTTGTCCTTCTGTCTCATATACATCTGTATCATTCTGTATCTATACCTACTCTTCCAATTGGTTCGCTTCACTGGCGTTCCAGAAATTGAATAAGAATAACTCCTGAAAACCGATTGCTTTTTCAAGGCGGCTCTATGGCGCAGAACCACTTGGCAACTCCCAGTGTGTTGTGATAACTTCAAAGTTAAAGCATCTGATCCTACCCTTCTAAGCAACGCTGGCGCTACATATGAGAATGCACCCCAAAGAACAAACCCCACCCCTCTGGCCCTCTGGATGGATTTTCTTGCGGAGGGGGCCTTGTTGGCTTCCGAGGAGCCTCCCGACTGTCATCAGCTTGGCTCTCTGAGCGAGTTTCGTCCTCTGCATGACCTCGGTCGGAACTTCCCAAATGGCCAGTCTGTTGCTTTTGCACTGGATGAAATAAAATCAAGCAAGGCAGAACCCTCCTTTTTACACCGTGAGGTGCTTTGACTGTGTAGACTCAAAGCAATCGAAATGCAGTCCCATTCTGTGTCCAAGACATGGAAAAACAAAGCTTGGAGACGGTCGGAGAACAATGGTCCGTTGTTGCAAGGGAACTGTCTGACCGATTCTGAAGTCGACAAATGCTGGCGACCAACGCATCGACTCCAAGGAACCTTCAAGCTCTCCCGCGATACTCTTGAAGTGATTCGACCATGGAGGAGCATAGTCACAGGGTCCATTAACACCCAGGAAAATGCTTTTTAACATTGCCGTCAAGTCCAATATGCACTCCTGCAAGCAGCGTATCTCCACTCTCACGACTGCCAAGTTGTGTATCTGACAGCTGAGCTTTTTTAAAAGCTGAAGTAGCTTCAGCCTAGGATGGCAATCCCTGCCCAGTCCTGTGTGGACCCACGCTTGAAGAATGTCGTGAAGGCCACAGCTTCACGGCTATTCAAGTGCAGCTCCTAAAAATGCAGTTGTCGCACGTCCCTAGTGTAGCGTCCTTGCTCCTAGTAGCGATGCCAGGGGCCCCTAGTAGCTACTTGCTCCTAGTAGTAAGGCCAGGAGCCCCTAGTAGCGTCCTTGCTCCTTTCCGCACGTTGCAACTACCTTTTGCCACGACATGTGCAACATTGTGTAACATCGCATATCGTTAGGCCCTCTGCACCCAAACCATCCACCTGTCCTGCACATCATCCATGTCCCTCACCTCCCACTCGAACAGGCATGTGCGGGCCGCCGTCTTGCCGTTGACACGCTTGTTTGCTCGAATGGTAAACTGGCCCTGGGTGGCTCCAAGGTCACGGTCTAAAACGTCGCTTGGGCATGATTCAACAAACGTAAGAGTGGCTGCTGAACAAATGACAGCCGGCTTTGGAGGATCTCTTGGCGTATTTGTCGGGGGCCTACAAGTTCCGGTTCGACTACAACGAATTCAAGACATTTCAAGACGCTTGTACTCGCAAACGTCTGGCCTCGTGAAAGTCGCAAACATTTCTCTCTTCGACATCGTATTCCATCAAAGCTTGGACTTCAACAAGTTCTCCATCGCGTGACAGCGCCGCATAGATTTCATGGGTACATTTGCCGTAGCCACCAGTCAGTTCGCATCTTTTTGTGATAATGGGGCCAGGGCTCTCGCAAAAGTCTTCCCACTTGGCATCATACTCAGAATCGTCAGACTCATTGTACGCTGCCTCCGGCGCGCGCTTCCACCTGACCACTTTCTTCGCTGTTCGAAAGCCTCAGTAGCTTCAGGGTACTAGATTGCCTGTGAAGCTGTCAAGGATCCAATGCACACTGTCCTCAAAAAAGGGCGGGCTATGGCTGAAATGGGCCAAAACCTTGAACCTGGTATCCAAGGAGCTAAAGCAACTTGCCCAAGCCGCACCAAACTTCTGTGCCACCAAGCCAGCTACTAGTGCTGGTTCCAGATCGATGCTGGTGGGCACTTCCTCAGATTGATCTGGGCTCAAAGGTCAAGAGTTCCTTTTTTTGCAATTGTTTAGACCTTTCCGTTCCCTTGGTTTCTCAAATCCCCAAAAGGCTCTGGTGAAAAGTGAGGACAATTCTGAGGCAGAGTTGATTGTCATAGAGATGTGCAACGACGGGCTTGTTAGCAAGAAAGGCTGCTCATCAAATCATTCTTGAGAGGTAGCAAAGCGAGTTTGCCAACATTTCCTACAGTAGCAATTCGCCGATCTCAGAAAAACAATCATGCAATGGGCCTATGAAGAGGGGATAATTTTTATATTCTTTGTCTTCAACCTCCGACCATTCCAAGCATCCCGCCACTCATGCAGCCTTCGTGCAGCCTGCAGAGAGCTCAAGCTTGGCGAGATACTGTGCACCATTTGCTGGAAGTCCTCATGAGCGATGGGGCAGTTCTTGCGCAAGTTAGACAAGAACAAAGCAATGGTAGTCAGTGACAACATCGACATGACACAAGCAATGCATGAGTCAAACATGACTTGTGATGAGGAACTTTGCTGAGACGTTCCTGTAAGCAACAAAAAGGATTCTCTTGGTTCACAACTTTCAGTCACCCAATGTCACGTCCTGCCCGAAGGAGCGCCACAAGGCGCTCTCGGCACAACGGTACCAGGTGCGATCCACTGAGAATAAGTGTGCGTAGCTGCGGGCAACACCTCCAAAGATTCTTCAAACAGGCGCGACTGTTATACACATGCATGTTTGTGCATGCACGCATAAGACTTGGATAAACTTAGTGTCTACAGTGGGCCTTCGGAAGCAACTTCCCATCTGTGCATGAAACAAAACAATCTTGTTGGCTGCTGGTGGGTTTTGCGGTCTCATCTGTGGACTGTGTGGTGGGGACCCGCTACTAGGGGCTCCTGGCATCGCTACTGGGAGCAAGGACGCTAGTAGAGGCTCCTGGCCTTACTACTAGAAACAAGAATTCAAATAGAATTAATTAGAATTATATAACATTAATCTAAGTTTAAATAGAATTAATTAGAACCAAGAAGCTACTAGGACCTTTTCGCGTGCGCGAGATAGATAGTAAATGCAATTTGGCGGGGGTGGCAAGGAAACCCGGACATCAGGTTCGGCAGATTACGGCTTCCACCGCCCACCAATCGCTCGATTCTCAACCTGACCCAAGACGATTTAGTACCAATACCTCAAACATATGCAAACCAAAAGGATCAAATAGGGGTCATCCCAATTCATTCATTCATTCATCCTCTCTCTGTTGCTGGAAGCTGAATAGCCCTCGGCCAGGCCTTCTGCACGGTTCTTCTTGCCGAACCAGTCAAAGACATCGATCAGCAAAGCTTCTGGAAGGAAGGGCACCGAACGGGCTTGAGGCGTGGCCACAGACCTGTTCGGCTTTGGCATTCTCCCAATGTCGATTGGCTACAGTTTTCACTTGCCAACATATTGAAACATGAGGCGCGATTTAGAGCCGCTGGCACGCCTCTTGGAACGTTTCTGAGGCTCCTCCATGGCTGAGACGGCAGCCATTGCTGGTGACTATGGCTTGTGATCGCCCAAAATAAGGACTCGTGTTACTGGTGAGCGTCTGGTGGATTCTGTTGCCAAGTCTCTGCCTCTTGCAATGGTAACTTGCCAGCTGGAAAAAAAATTACAGCTGTGAGTCTCGCAAAGCTCTTAAATCCCTTGTGTCTTTGCCGCAACTGATGACCACCAAGAAGCATAGATAAATTGTGATATCATGAAAAAGAACAAGTGAGGTTGCCAGTGTCTCAGGATATGGAAGCCTCAAAGCACCTTGAAAAACTGCCAAGAATTGCTGAGCCCATTCGCACACTTGCCCGTGTTCAAAGAAACTTATATAGACTCGACTGCCTTTAGGGATCCCATCCCAACCCAACCCACTTGGAAGTAAAAGTACCAATCCCTTCTTGGTTCCCTGCACTTCTGGGCTTGCAGGAAAGCTGGACCTGGCCACCGGCACACGATCTATTGGGGATGGGCCTCGTCATTCGACCTAGATAGAAATACCTGAGGGAGGGGACGAAAGCCAGCCTCTGGCTTAGGGGGTGCCCTCAGGGCAGGCCCAGGCAAAGACTTGGCGTGCAAGAGGAAGTGATGGGGTAACATTGGGCAAAGATTAATTTCATGGGGTGAAGTTGACATCGCAGCCACACTGATGGGGGTTGAAATGGATTTGGGGGGGTGGGCCTTTTTCGTCCGGTGGATTTGGAGGTGAAAAGGGCACCCCTAAGGAAGTGAGGCGCGCTTGCCGGTGGCGTGTTGCAATCAGTGAGCAAACACGGCGGTGGGGGTTCATGTGCGAGGCTATGGGTAGGGTAGGTGAGGAGATATATATATATATATATCTCTGTAGGTAGCGTGGACAAAGAGTAGCCGGAAGTGGTGAGGTTGATATTGGAGCGACGTGAGTGTGCAAGATGAAGTGATAGGCTAACATTATGTAAAGAGTACTTTTATGGGATGAAATTGGCATCGCAAGTGCGCGATAGGAGGTAAAAACAGACGGTAGAACTACAAGGGGGTGCCCTTTTTCGTCCGGGTTCAGAAATGTTTTGGAGGTGAGAAAGGGCACCCTCAAAGATTTTATGTGAGTTTGCCGGCTGCGTGTTGGTAATGAGTGGCCAGAGAGGGTCGTGGGCGAGTTTCCTCAACAACCCCCCAATCCACGTCAGACCCTCAACAGATGGCATCATGCACCCCATGTGGGGTGCCCTCTACGGAACCCCCACCCCGATGCAATTCAAAACTTTCCGCCTCCAACGCTTGCCCTTTGCAATCTCTTCTCTTTTTTCGCGCCCTCAACAACCCCCCAATCCACGTGAACTCCCGCCGCATAGGGAGAGTCCAATTCTCTCGCAGGCCCTCAACATGGCACATACAGCCCATATGGGGTCCCTTTTCAGTCCAGCAATTAGACCTTGCCACGGATAAAAAAGGACACCCCTAAGCAATTCAAAACCTTCCGCCTCCAACGCTTGCCCACTGCAATCTCTTCCCTCTCCTGCCCTCAACAACCCCCCAATCCACGTGAACTCCCACCGCTATTCAGTCCGGCAGCAACACTAAGCTTAGCCGCAACTACAATCTGTTCTCTTTGCATGGCCTCTTGAGCCCCTCATGATGCTGATGATGCGCTCTTCGCCGTCAATTACATCACCGGAATCACAACACCCCTCAAACCACTCATTTTTCACTACCAGGTGGCCCACCTCTCTTTTTCGCTCTCCCCCACCAGGCTCTAGGTTCACCTCTCCAAAGTTGGCCACCTCGCGACCACCCCCCCCACGCGCCCTTTACTCACCACTTCGTTCGCTCCAACAACCTTGCCTATCGGCAGGCTTTCGTGAGGACATATATATGTATATGTACATAGGTAGAGTGGACAAGGAAAAGCTGGAAGTGGTGAAGTGGATATGGCCGTCACTCGAGAAAGAATGGAAATAGATCGTAGAATACAGAGGTTTGGGGTCCCCTTTTGCGTCTCGATGTCGGGGCGTTGTGGAGGGGAAAAAGCTCACTTCGTTCGATCCCCTGCCTCAAGCCTAGCCTATATCGGCTGGCCAACAACCCCCCAATCCACGTGAACACCACATAGAGAGTGCCCTCTTCAGTTCGGTTCTCTTGCAGGCCCTCAGCAGATGGCATCATGCACCCCATCTAGGGCGCCCTTTCAAATCCAGCAACTAGACCTTGCTACCGATAAAAAAGGGCACCCCCAAGCTATTCAGGACTTTCCATGGCCTCCTGAGCCCGTCATGACCCCCAATCCACGTGAACTCCCTGGGGTGCCCTTTTGTGTCCAGTAACTAGGCCTTGCCACGGATACAAAACGGCACCCCTAAGCAATTCAAAGCCTTCCGCCATCTTCCGCCTCCAACGCTTGCCCGCTGCAATCTCTTCTCTCCTGCCCTCAACAACCCCCCAATCCACGTGAACTCCCGCCGCATAGGGAGCCCTCTTCAGTCCAATTCTCTTGCAGGCCCTCAACAGATGGCACATAGAGCCCATATGGGGTCCAGCAACTAGACCTTGCCACGGATGAAAAATGGGCACCCCTAAGCCAATTCCAATCCTTCCGCCATCTTCCGCTTCCAACGCTTGCCCGCTGCAATCTTTTCTCTCTCCTGCCCTCAACAACCCCCCAATCCACGTGAACTCCCACCGCATCGGGAGTGCCCTCTTCAGTCCGGCAGCAACGCTAAGCTTAGCCGCAGCTGCAATCTGTTCTCTTTGCATGGTTCACCTCTCCGAAATTGGCCACCTCGGGACCACCCCCCCCCACACCCCCTTTACTCACTTCGTTCGCTCCAGCAACCTCAAGCCTTGGCTATCGGCTGGCTTTCGTGAAAATAGTGCACATGTAAACGTATGCCAGGTCTGTGCATGCACTAGAAGCATCCCTGGTTTCGGGGCATATTCAAGCATTGGTAGTCCACACGCTGTAGCCCCTGGCCCACAAGTTCAACAGATACAAAAAGATCATGCCGTAATTCAGATCTGTCCATTTCTATGTCTGTATGGTCGTTCTACAAGTACTTTGCATGCAATTGCTGACTGGTCTCAAAACACGACTGTAAGTGCTTTCCCTGAATCACCGATTCACCTTTCTCGCCCAGCTTAATGATGAGCCAGAGAGACATATCTAAGAATTCCATCTCAGCACGGAACCTCCACGCTTTCAGAGCAGATTTGGCAAACAGAAGCTACTAGGAGCAAGGATGCTACTAGGGGCTCCTGGCATTGCTACTAGGAGCATTCTTGCTACTACGAACAAGAAGCTACTAGTGGTTTGCATCGTCCGAACGTTCGGTGACGGTGCTAGTGACGGTGCTTGTGACAATTCTGCGACCGCAGGGCATGACGAGTTCACATGTCTTATGATAAGACCATATCTTCTCCTTTCTTCCTGACACCTGGCTTTGTAGCACCTGCCCAATCATCAACTCCCCTACCTGGCTGCTGCTGAAGTGTAGGGCTCCAGCTCTGCGTCTGGTAGAGGGGAGGCCTAGCAAAGGACTATTACTATTGCAAATTATCAGGATAGTAGATAGTAGGATTACGATTGGCTCTTGGCATATGTACTTCCAACTTTGGATTCCTTGTGGATTCATAAAACACATTTTAGATCAAACATGACTGACTAAAGAGAGTCGACCCGTGAGAGCACCACACCATTGCCAGCCAAAAGCCCCTTGGTTTGGTCGGCTTCCCTGGATCATCACTACAGTGATGACAGTGATGCAACTTTGCACTCAGAAGGAACAGGCTCAATCAGGCTCATAGGATTTTGTAAAGCAAAACTCTTGCCCCTGTCATCCCTATTCCATCCTTTTCCAATTTGCGCGGGTACAACTTCCAGTTGCGGCCTTTGACGATGAAGTCTGCTCAGGTTCTGAAGAGTGGCTCTCTGCTTGCACCTCATCTGGAAGAGCCTGACCGGTGAGGAGTGTTCGGTAGATTCACTCAAAGCAGGCATTGAATTCCAGGGGGTCACGGGAGTTCGCTTTCATTGGTCCTTTTTGCATTCACAACTCTGATCCAAGTGTTTCCACACTTGAAACGAACCACTCTGCCGCGACGACTGAAACGTTGGAAGGTTTCGAAATTTGCTGAAGTAGATATTGTTTGCAGGACTTTGCAGGACTTAGTTTTCATCATCATCTTCTTGTTACTAGTAGCAAGAATGCTAGCAACGATGCTACTAGTAGTGAGGCCAGGAGCTACTGTACTAGTAGCGATGCCCTTTGCTCCTAGGTCCTAGTAGCGATGCCCTTTGTTACTAGCAAGAATGCTACATGAAGGCTCAACTTCGCAATGTATATAACATTATATAACCTTTGACACTTCGGTGGCTTTGGTGGTCTGATCTATCTGCCTTGGATGCCTCCGTCGCCAAATGATGCTCTTCCTCGCGTTGCTCCTCTTCAGCCTGAAAAACGGCACAAGTGCCACAAGGCATGTCAGTAGTTCCTCTATTCGATTCGTCTTTGCACTTTGGTGCAAAGAGCTCTGTATACAAACCGCAGCACCTGCCACATGATATATCATATATATATATATATAATACGTCTTTCCATGCAAACATCTTGAATTTGAGAGGCCCTGCCTCCGGTACCTTCCGACTGGACTCCCTGCTCAGGAAGGGACTGGGCCCTGCGACCCGCGGACCGCGGAGTGGATCCTGTGGGCCATCCACCGTGTGGAGAGCGTACCAAGTGAAGCTCGAGCGCTGCACATGAGTGCGCAACTTGTAGAGCTTCCGGCCCCTGCGAGAGTTTGGTCAAATTGAAACTGTTCCATCTTCTAGCCATTATTTACATATGTTTTACCTCCACAAAATGCTACGTTGATCAGTTTTCAGCTGGGCTCCTTGACCATCCTGGAGATAATGAGTGTCTGAAGATCAGTACATCATAATTAATACATCTCCTGCGACCTTGGGTACAAATCCTTTGCATCATCCAACATTTCTAGCCCACTAGGTCCTGGCCGTACTAGCTAGGAGC